TAAATGAATCAAGTGGAATTTAATTCAAATGTGACTGCTTAAATACTGTCATGAACCAATCTACCTGTTCCCAGCTTTTGCACATTTAATGAGCTGTGGATGCAAAACCTAAATGTAGCACTTGTAATAGTTTAGTTTGTGAAATATTTATCTTACCAAGAGTATAGATCATTCTTATAGTTTTGGTAAGCCTAGCACTGTAACTAGTAATTAAAAATAGTGCAGATATACTAACACAGGCTAGCAACATGAAGGCATCTCAAAATAGGGTGGTTTTGTGTTCTTTGGTCGCTGTTTCCATAGGGACACTCTGAAAACAGTGTCATAGTGCAGGAAGGGGCTATGTGGAAGCAGGTGACCCTCTGTCCTGCAATGAGACACATATGAGATAGATAGAGAAACATCTGCCTCTGTCACCCAGCACTTTTTTCTTCTACAGGAACTAGAAAAATTACAAGAGCGATTTGAAGAAAGTAGATGAAGCAAAAGTGCAGCAGCCAGGGAGAGCAGGGAAACTAATTTTCAGGGGCCGTACAGAGCGGGGCTCTAGCTACTGTGCCTGCGCTGTCTCCAGTAATATCATTTTTTTTCATGAAGTGATATCCTGAGCTACCTCCTCCCAGTGTTCTGCGAAGAGGCTACTGACTACACCAGGAATAATAATCATGCTTCAGCATTTATAAGTATTGACAATTACTAATTCTTTTCTCACATCTTGTGTTCAATAGTCTGATTACATCAGGGTATGATGACCTGGGACAGAATAGCACAGCATACACTGGTGGCAGAGGGGAAAATAACGTGCACTCTGGAAAATCCTGCTCTTGCTGAGCACTCTTCCCTGTTTTTTTTTGTGTTCCTGAAGCTGCATAACATGAGGTGTTCACCATTACCATCTGGAGCAGCCTTTCATTCTGCTGAGTCAGAGCAGGCTCCTAAGTTACATACATAAATTAGTGGCCTACATTTAAGCATGAGATAATGAGGATATTATGGATCTCTAGTCACTTCTAACAATTTCCTGGATGTATAGCTCTAAGATGCAGAATAAATTCTATACAACCCATATCAATTCATTTCAAGAGGATAGCAAGAGGTGTTCCTGGAGAACAGAAATTTAGAGTATGTTTATATACGTTTGCGATGTCAAAAATGGTAATCTCGGTTTAAAAGAAAAAAGGAAGGAAAGGTAGAGTTCAATTGAAAAGAGTGATAGTCTTAGAAGAACTTAGTCTTAGAGAGTGTTAGAACTTTACACATAGGATGTGATCTTTCATATGTTAAATGTATATTTTAATATTTGTCTAGATATCAAAGGTTTGAAATAGCAGAATAGGGAACCTATGGAACCATCACTTGCGCGACTGTCACACTTCCTGATGTTACTCCTGTTTTGGCAAGGACATCCTACCTCCTCTGATGAACGGTAGCTCTTAGTATCAATCAATCAGGGGCATCTTATTGTGTCGTTTCCTAATTTTAAAGTCCTTCTTCAACAAAACACTTTGAACTGCAGATTAACGTGTGCCAATAGTGACATACCTTTTCTTCATCCAGCTCACTTAAGTATGTCATCAGGTGCCGTCTTGCTCACAGCCAAGCAAACAGTTGGCACATTCAGTTCCTCTGTGCAGACTTTGCTACTCAAGCAAAGAACATCTGTCTCGCTGGTCATGTTTGTACGAGGTTACTGAAAGACAGGAGGGAGGCGCACATAGGTCTTAACACTGGTTTTACTTCTAGTAATTGAAGCAAATACTGTTTCAAGTAAATTCTGCTCAGCCTCCAGCAACTATCTGCAACATCATGTGCTTAGAAGTCATAGCGCATGTAAACCTCCACTATACATCTCCGGGAAATCTCCGTGTGACCTTTGATTTTTGGTTTTGTTTTGTATGCTAGCCAAATCTAGCTTGATTTTCTGGGTCTGGAGAAACAATACTATATACTAAAGGCAATTTCCCAACATTTCCAGACTCTGCTGACATTTCAGAGGTCTGTTAACCCTTCTCAAAGAGAACATTAACTGGAAAATACATGGACAAGATTTGTACTTGAAAATGCTCAGCCAACTTTGAGATTTTTGTAAGTTTCTGGAAGTGTCTGATGGTGGATAAGTGGTGTCAGGTGTAACTGGGAAGTGAATGAACAAGACAGTAGCAGCTATAATGAATAACCCATTGATTTCACTAAGAATGTTTCTTGGAGCCATTATACCTGTGTACTTAAGTGTTTGAGGACTGCGTACATCTACAGTATAATCTGGTCTACATCAACTATTATTAAACTATTCTTATTTTTTTTTCAGAAGCAAAAAATGAACTATACTGCGCACAGTCATTTCCCATTTAAAACTTTGTAATAAACAAGTCAGCATTTTCACTAACACTGTGTCCTTGAAATCTCCACTACAATGATGTGAAATATCATTTAATATTTCATGTCTTGTTACATGTACTGCTGGCATTTAGGTGATTTATGGTTTCTTGGTTTTGTCAATTCACAAGCGCAGTGACAAAGAAAGTGACCGTTTTGATCACCTTACTCTAATTAGCTCTAATTATAGGCTTCCTCACAAGGTAGTCTTTAAATGTATTAATGTATATATATTTATCTGCAGGGCATATTGTAAGAACAGGACATAGCTTCCTGATTTACACAGAAGCTTTGGAGATGTATGCAATGGCTTTGTATGTAATAAGCTCCTTAGTTAAAAAACTACTAACACCTCACACCCCTGTTAATTTTGGTGTTAGTAAACTATTTGTGGCTGACACAAGTACTGGGGAAGAATTAATGAGCAGGCCATTTATTGAAGTATCTGTGGGTGAGGATACAGTTTGCAGAAATATGATTCAGAACCTCTACATGAAGGTCTTATTAAATCTTTATATATGCTGAAAGAGAGAAAGAGTGAAGAAGGAAGGAAGGAAGGAAGGAAGGAAGGAAGGAAGGAAGGAAGGGAGGGAGGGAGGGAGGAAGTTGTAACAAGTAACAAAGGTACTTGACAAGAGATAACCTCCTGGACTATCTGCTTAAAATTTAAGAAGGGAAGCACTTTCTGTTTAAATAACCCTGCTCATCATAGTGTGACTCCCATACTGTGTTTTACCAATTAGTTATCTAGTATCATTGCTTAAAATGATTTTCAAAATCACAATTATTTTCCTCTTTCCAAAAAAAAAAAAAAAAAAAAGGTAAGGCAGCCAAACTTGCTGATTTCTTGAAAATAATAAAAGTTACCAATGACATGTCTTCTCGTAGAGATAAGGCTTATCATCTGGTGAAACAGCTGCGTTTTGGCCACTGGCTCCTTAGTATCAGTCATTTCTGAAGAAAGAAAGAGAGAAAGAAAGGGAGAGAGAGAAAGAGAGAGAGAGAAAGAAAGAAAAAGAAGAAGAGAGGAAGAGAGAAAGAAAGAGAGAAAGAGAGAGACAAAGAGAGAGACAAAGAGGGAAAGAAGGAAAGAAGGAAAGAAAGAAAAAGAAAGAAAAAGAAAGAAAAAGAAAGAAAAAGAAAGAAAAAGAAAGAAAAAGAAAGAAAAAGAAAGAAAAAGAAAGAAA